GTGGTTTTGGATTCAAAGATGCCGTGTTTGATGGCTCCAGCTGCATCTCTCCTGCCATAGTTCAGCAGTTCGGGATCAGCGCCGGGCATCAGATGATGGCAAACGCGCAGATCCTTCTAAGACAAGCAACACTACCCGTGTCTTCTCGCCAAACAAGCAAAGAACAGTGGTCCCTGTGCGAAATGGAATGAGCTTGCACGACTGCCTTATGGAAGCCCTCGAGGTGAGGGGCCTGCAACCAGAGCACTGTGCAGTGTTCAGACTCCTCCACCAACACGAAGGCCAAAAAGCAGCTTCGATTGGAATCCTGATGCCGCCTGTTTGATTGGAGAAGAACTTCAAGTAGATTTCCTGGATCGTGTTCCGCTGACAACACACAGCTTTGCTCGGACGACGTTCCGACCTTCTGTGACATCTGCCAGAAATTCCTGCTCAATGGATTTCGGTGTCAGACGTGCGGCTACAGATTTCATGAGCACTGTAGCACCAAAGTACCTACTATGTGTGTGGACTGGAGTCATATCGGACAACTCCTATTGTTTCCAAATTCCACTATTGGTGATAGTGGAGTCCCAGCGCTACCTTCTTTGACTATGAATCGTATGCGAGCGTCTGTTTCCAGGATGCCTGTTAGTTCTCAGCACAGGTATTCTACACCTCACGCCTTCACCTTTAACACCTCCAGCCCCTCATCTGAAGGTTCCCTCTCCCAGAGGCCGAGGTCGACGTCCACACTAATGTCCACATGGGTCGACGTCCACACCTAACGTCCACATGGTCAGCACCACCCTGCCTGTGGACAGCAGGATGATTGAGGATGCAATTCGAAGTCACAGCAAGTCAGCCTCACCTTCAGCCCTGTCCAGTAGCCCCAACAATCTGAGCCCAACAGGCTGGTCACAGCCGAAAACACCCGTGCCAGCACAGAGAGAGCGGGCACCAGTATCTGGGACCCAGGCGAAAAACAAAATTAGGCCTCGTGGACAGAGAGACTCAAGCTCTTACTGGGAAACAGAAGCCAGTGAAGTGATGCTGTCCACTCGGACTGGGTCAGGCTCTTTTGAAACTGTTTATAAGGGCACATGCACGGAGACGTTGCAGTAAAGATCCTAAAGGTTGTCAACCCAACCCCAGAGCAATTCCAGGCCTTCAGGAATGAGGTGGCTGTTCTGCGCAAAACACGGCGTGTGAACATTCTGCTTTTCATGGGGTACGTGACAAAGGACAACCTGGCAATTGTGACCCAGTGGTGCGAGGGCAGCAGCCTCTACAAACACCTGCGTGTCCAGAAGACCAAGTTTCAGATGTTCCAGCTAATGGACACTGCCTGGCAGACGGCTCAGGGAATGGACTATTTGCATGCAAAGAACATTATCCACAGAGACATGAAATCCAACAATACATTTCCCCATGAAGGCCTAACAGTGAAAACTGGAGATTTTGGTTTGGCAACAGTAAAGTCACGCTGGAGTGGTTCTCAGCAGGTTGAACAACCTGCTGGCTCTGTCCTGTGGATGGTCCCAGGGGTGATCTGAATGCAGGATAACAACCCATTCAGTTTCCAGTCGGATGTCCACTCCTATGGCATCGTGTCGTATGAGCTGATGACGGGGGAGCTTCCTTACTCTCACACCAACAACCGAGATCAGATCATCTTCGTGGTGGGCCGAGGGATGCCTCCCCAGATCTTAGTAAGCTATGTAAGAACTGCCCCAAAGCGATGAAGAGGCTGGTCGCTGACTGTGTGAAGAAAGTAAAGGGAGAGAGGCCTCTTTTCCCCAGATCCTGTCTTCCATTGAGCTGCTCCAACACTCTCTACCGAAGATCAGCCGGAGCGCTTCCGAGCCGCCCTTGCATCAGGCAGCCCACACCGAGAATGTCGATGCCTGCACGCTGACCACGTCCCCGAGGCTGCCTGTCTTCTGGTTGACTTTGCACCTGCCCTCAGGCTGCCAGGGGAGGAAGAGAAGCCAGCAGGCACCACTTTTCTGCTCCCTTTCTCCGGAGGCAGAACACATGTTTTCAGAGAAGCTGCTGCTAAGGACCTTCTAGACTGCTCACAGGGCCTCAACTTCATGGTGCCTTCTTTTCTGTTCCTTTGGGCCCTGGGAGAAGGAAGCCATTTGCAGTGCTGGTGCGTCCCCGTGCTCAAGGCCCAGCCTTCTCTAGATGCGCAAGTGGATGTTGATGGTGGTACAAAACGCAGGGACCCAGCCCAGCCGTTGGCTCCATGAGTATTTCGAGGAAATAAGTTAGCGGGCAACCCAGCCCTGATGTGGAGACACATGGGATTTTGGAAATCAGCTTCTGGAGGAATGCATGTCACAGGCGAGACTTTCTTCAGAGAGTCATGCAGCGCCAGACGTTTTGCACATAAGGCACCAAACAGCCCAGGACTGCCGAGGCTCTGGCCGCCCGAAGGAGCCTGCTTTGGTACTATGGGACTTTTCTTAGGGGACGCGTCCTCCTTTCACAGCTTCTGAGGTGTCCAGTGCATTGGGATGGTTTTCCAGGTGAGGCCCCCAGCCAGTCCCCGTCTCGGCCCTCTCAGGGAGCAGTCTTCCGTCAGCCAGTCCCCGTCTCGGCCCTCTCAGGGAGCAGTCTTCCGTCAGCCAGTC